ATTTGCCTAGAATTCCAGCGCCAGGCCGCCCTTTTCTCAAGAAGGTCTTGCAACAAAAGGCTGAGAAACACCCCGTCGCATTGCACCAAACCAATTAATGTCGCTTAATGAATGACTAGAAACTAAGGCGTCCTCGCAAGCGACGCGCACACGACCCGCCGTGTGTGAAAAATGGGCAAAAACCATTGTACTACGAGGAAGGTGGGTAAGAAAACTAGCTTGACCAAGGCTATTATCCGAGAGGAAAACTCCGATTAGTCGCAATAATTATGGGAACTGGACGACATCGTGAGCTAAATCTTCTAATATGATGGATATAGCCTGCTGACAGGAAGTGAAATGGAAAGGACGGAAAGTTATTGGAGATGGGTATAAGCTACTCCACAATAGTACAAGCAGCAATAAAAGTTGGCATTGCTCTCTCTGAAGCTGAGAATTACAATACTGGAGTAGGATGAGTAAACGGAATTATGAGCCTAAAAATTGACACTGGGAAATGTATCATCTGAATTGTTACTGCCTACGCACCGCAATTTGGATGCAAAGATGAAGAAAAGAACGTCTTTTGACAGGAGCTGATGAAATATCAGAACAGTAGCATTCTCGAGTTGTTGCTTACGTGGTGTTCGCGAACACTTACTACACCAAAACAATGATCATCTCTCAACGCTTTCAAATGAGAACCAAAAAAGACAAACGACTTCTGATTGGTGAGGCGGAGTTCAAGAACGTAAAAGACTGCAAAGTGATCCCAAATAAAAGTAGTATACCTCAAAATGAGCCTCTACTCCTCGACTCTAGGGCACCAGTTGACAGTCGAAGAAAAGATTTAGAAAATTTAACGAAAATACAAACATCAAAAGGTGGAAGTTAAAAGATAACGCTATGGCAAGGGGCACGCTGGCAGCAACTCCATCAAATCGGCTATAACAAGTGCCTGTTAAAGTGTAAAGATTGACAAGCGTCCTTTTTGGCCTACGAATGCTGCTACATCTTAATCATAGATGTAGCCACTCTATTCCATTCGACAGCACTACGTGCTGGTATGGACATGTGAGTAGAAGAAAAAAGAACCACTTAATAAGAATGATTCTGTCTAGGGAATAGTAATTAAAAGACCGCAAATCCCGAATTTATAAAGTTGTGAAGAAAATTCGTTTGGTGTGGTAGTCGATGTTTGACAGAGC